TTGCTCAGAATAGATCAGAACCTTGAACAATCAATGGCGGAATAGCTCATTGATGAAGACAACTGAGGACATCCTTTGTTCTTGCTGCAAATGCAGGAATTAAAACAGGAGGCTCAGGAATTCAGCTTTTGCCATGGAGATGCAAGGAAGCTATATCAAAGAAGAAGAAGAGAGCTGCTGGAACGAAAGCCATTGTGCTCTGATACCATATTGAGAAAATAAAAGTATAGAACCTGTTGTAAATGGCAGGGAAGAAGAAGAATATTTCATTCATTCAACTTAAGAAATAACAATGCATACTAGTCTATTTATAGAGAAAAATGGCTAACTAATCTATCAACTAATCACTACATGGAAGTCTCTAGAATTGATGAGCTGGACTAAATTCTAACAAACCAACAACTAATAACAAACTAAAGAAGAAACTAAAAGGAGCTAGAATAATGAGTGCTGTAAGCTAAGGCATGAAGAATGTGAGCTAGCTGAGGTATGAAGAACATGAGCTGAGATATTCGAACATCTTGCTCGTCCCCATTCCCCACTGACATGGCTAGGTTTAAACAAATTAATGCAACAACTAAAATCCAAAGAGGAGTAGATTACCATCACCCATATACAGTTCAACACCATAAACCTCTTACAAAACCTCAAATAATTTAAAGGAATTCACATCTAACTAAGGGAGTGTTTTGACACCCATTTTAATGGGTTGAAAATTTTTGGAGTGATTGATGGAAGAATGTGTGGTGGAAAGGGGTGAAAAGTTTTAGATTTGTGGAATATTATTTTATTTGGAGATTGTGCGGTTGAAATGAAAAAAGAGAATGAGAATGAAAAAGAAAATGAGTGCCAAACAGGGGCTAAGAGAAATGTAAGTTAACAAATCTACACGATTGGAAGCCTACTATTACTTGTGTCTACTAACAACATGGAACCTATGACTGATAGATCCTTATCAGACAAGCTCTACAGTAGCTTGTTGAATGATGAGAAAATGAGAATCAAGAAAATCAGCACTATCATTATATGGCTGAAATTATTGACAACTACTGATATTTCTCCAGTATGATAAGATATATGCTAATTGGGCATTGAATTCGATGACATTTCACACGCTTGACCACGCAACGAGAATAACGTTTTTGACAAACCTATAGCGTCGTGATAACGGAACAAATTTATTTAAGCCTGTTTCACTAAACCATCAATGGAAATCATTTAAATCAAAATGTACCAACACATGGTAAACACAGCTAAGTAAACAAACACGCTAAACCATGTAATGCAGATAAACAATATGTATACATGTTTGATATGCATAAATTAATAGCACAACATCCAACCATTTGAACTAGTCAATAAAGAATTTGTAACATCACTTTGCAGATCATGCCAATATAGTTCTTGCGTGATGCACATGCACATTCACATAACATATAAATGTATATGCAAGTAAATAAAAACATAAGTCTCAAAATTGTATAGCTTTTTAATTCATTAAAAATGTATATTCAAAAGACTACAGTGATTTAACATGATTTCTGACAAATTCCAGCAAATGAATACCAAGCAGCTAATTAGTCACCAAAGACTACACACACACAAAGGTGCAATATATAGCATCGAATCAAACACTGTTTGTAGAAAATTTCAAATGCATGATGTGTAGGGACGGAAATTTGACCCGAAAATGTGTCCCGACAAGCGGCGGTGTAGTTTTGGGTTGAGGTTTACTGCCCCAGGAGGCCAGGACCCCCCCGCCCCGTCTCGATTATCTAGTTATTTACAAAAAAAACAAATTTTGTTTAAAAATACTTTAGCCCAACTTTTTAATGCCCAAGCCCATTAGCCCAATTACCAAATTACCCTAACAAAATACGGGAAGTAAACAGGGAGGGGCGGGTGCCATTCCTTCTAGCCCCTTAGCATACACTATTTTTCTTTAGTTAAGCATTTATTCTGTTTGAGATGGCTTACAAAATCAACGAATGTAGTCACATCATCTTCCGTATAATTTTTTTAATTAAAAATTTCCCAATAAATACAAACTTACACGACTTGTCTAATTTATTCTCGACCTAAAAGGCTCCCTTTCACAATAATAATGCGATTTTGTAGAGCAAGGCAAAAGAGGGAGGAGTAGACCAAAATTGCTTTAGATCAACCAGCAGACCTTGCAACAAACATAGCTGACCTATTTCACTGAGAACTATGCTTGGCATAATGCTGTTTTGCCAAAACCCCCCATAAAATTAAGTTACGATAGACTGAAAAACATTCATGATTTCCTATTATAAACACTGTCACTGGAAGCAAGAATTTACAAGAACCTATTTCAGACCATGTATCTGAGTAACTGCAATTTTAATATTCGCCAGCCCACTTAATAGGATGTACATCACTACTCATACACAAGGCAAACATTAGCAACACATGTATACAATGAGCCGATATAAAAAAATTAAGTATGCCTAAAATTGCAGCTTGACAATGTTAATCACCATCGACGCATGCGAGTTAGTACCTTCTTGACGGAGGCGGACCAGGAGAGAGTGAGGCCAAGGAACACAATGAAGAAGAAGGGCCCCCATAGATCCCAATCCCTCAAAGCCTTGCCAGGATCCTCTCTAAATGGGTTGGGAAAAACAACCAGCTTCAAATTGCTCACGATCCTTGACAGATCCCGCTTCACAGTATCCCAAACGGGTTCCGTTAGCGTGTTTGGAGGCGATCCGAACCCGGACGCGGAAATATTGCCACTCGGTCCGGAAGCGCGGGGCGGCAGAGGGGGTTTAGGAGCAGCGGAGGATACTGGAGGAACAGGTGTCGTATTGGGGTTGGTAGGAGTGGGAAGATTGGATGGAATGAAGGCAGGTGGCGGATTTGGGGCTGAAGAGATGGGAATGGAGGCGCGTGGAGGGGACGGGGGGCGGGCGGGGAGGACGGAGGAGGAATGGGTGTTGATGAGGTTCTCGATCTCGTCGATGTCCGATTGGGACGTGGAGTGTAAGGGAATTGTATCGCTGTGAGACATTATGCGTGTGAAAATTAGAGAACGACGAAGTGGCGGACGACGGCGATTATTGGTGGCGATCGGGGAGTATTGAGAAATGAAGAAACGCGGGTTTTATGACGGGGTCACATAATTAAGGGCACGTTTGGCGAAGGAAAAATCATGTATACCAATGTTTAATGTTTATTAAATAAAAATTAGGTTGTGTTTGATGGGGTGGAAATTCCATGAAAAATGGAATTGGTTTTCCATTTTCTAACTTTTTAGGTGTTTGATAGGGTTAATTTTCTTGACAAAACTTTTTCTCACCTCGCCCCACATGTGCACATTTTCAAGGCTTTTATGGAAAACCTTCTCTTCTAATTGGTGAGAAAAGGTTTTCCATATTCTGATTTTTTTTTTCCTTTTTTTGGGTAATGGAAACAAATTTTATTGCCAATAATAAAAAAAATTCTTTTAATGGACAATTTTCATAAAAAAACAAAGTCAAACGAACACAAAAAAATTCAAAATTTAAATATTTTCCACGTGAAAAATTATGCCAATCAAACACAATTAATTACAATTCTCAGTAAAATAATTTCTAGACAGTTCAATTATCTAGAATTAATTTTCTTTCCACCAATTTTTCACATTTGCAATCAAATGGACCCTTAGTCTAATTGTGCGTAAATTTAAAGTTGACGATTAATGTGTTCGATGAAGCTTAAAAATAATTAATCTTAAGTTAATTTTTAATTATTAGTATAATTAGTAAGTTTGAAATATGCGATTAAAAATAAGTAAAGTAGTGTTACTCCCAAGTAGGTAGCTTTTTTACTTCAGTGTGAAAATAATTTATTAAATAAAATTAGTCTAATTAACAGTAAATTTTAAAGTTCACTATAAGAATGTTTGACCGGGCTTATAAATTATAAATATAAGCAAATATGTAAGCAAATAAAAAATAAGTAAAACCTCTTCTTTTGATAAAGTTACTTTTAAATAAGTAAGTCCATGTTTGACAATCATTACTTTAAAATTATTTAATTTTCATTCTCATTTTTAACTATATATTTTGTACGTAAATTCAGAATTTTTCATTACTTTTTAACTACACATTCTCCAAAAAATCTGTTGGAGAAAATAATGGTGAATCAAAGTAATAGATGAAACCGAAGGCCCGTGTTCACACGGTTTCCTTAAATCGAATTCGCCGCCTCACCGGGGTGCACGAGGTTTTTGTTCGGTGTTCGATTCCCAGGATACAATCGGTTATCGGTCCACGTTGCACTACGTTACCGACCTACGAACTTGCTGTGTCTATCTCTCGAAGGAATAAGCGAAGAAAAGAAAAGAAATAAAGAACAGAAGCTTGAAATGAAGGAGGAGGAAAGCTGCTGTTGTGCTTGCTGTTCACTATGTTTTTTGTGTCTATGATGTGTGTTTCTTCAACCAACGGGATCCTCTATATATACACATGGATGAGAGGTGTGGTCATTAAGACATTGAAGAGGAATTGAAGAGCACGGCTGAAACTGAAATATGAAATTTATTCCATGAATTAAAATCTGAAACTGAAGGAGGGGAACAGCTGCTGAAACGGACTGAGCTGCTGAAATGGAAACTGATCATATGCTGAAATGGAAACTGATCATATTTTCATTCATTTTCCATTCATTTCCAACAAAATCACTATTCAAAACTCTATTTTCTCAAATTAATGGGTCGTCAAAGGGGCAAAGTTTTACTTGATGCATTCAAAAACAATTAAATAAAAACAAAAAAGTTACTTTTACTTGTTTCCAAAATAAAAAGAAAAGTTACTTTCACTTGTTTTTTAACTTTCTGTTTTTCAAAAAAGTATATACGTATTTTCCTATTTTATTTATATGATTTGCCAATCTTAGAAGAAATTAGGGAATATTTTGATGCAATATTCTACTTATCTGTAACAGTTTTTCGACGGGTTTAAGTTCCCACAACATTCAAAATAATTCACAAAAAGTTAAACCTCTTAGACTAGAAAAATGTAATGAGATCAAAGTACCAGCAAATTAAGGATTTGGGAGCTGTAGAATTCTCAAGTCTGAGAATTATAGTTCATCCATGGAAAGATGAAGAAAGAAATTAAAGGAAAAATGAGGAGGAATAAAATCTGTAATCTTATTTCTTAATAATGAATACGGTTTACATCATATATATAAAGGAAAAAAAAGACAGATATCAATTTTGTTTTTGAACAAACTATTTAACAACTTTAACTATCTATCAACAATCATTTCAACAGATTTAACAATCCAACTGAATTCGCCTAGCTGTCTAACTGAAATTAACTACCATGCCAGCTAGGAGGCAACATCAGCTTCATCATCTGTTGTTGCATCATCTATATCGTGAGATCCCCCCGCAAGAGGGGCATGGATGTTCAAGATGCCCATCTTGGAAGCATGTCTGTGAAACAAGGCAGATCCAAGAGGCTTGGTCAGAATATCTGCCACCTGATGATGAGTGGGAACATGGATGATCTTAACGAGGCCAGATTGTAGTTTCTCACGAACAAGGTGCCAATCAATTTGAATATGTTTGGTTCTCTCGTGTTGGACAGGGTTGGAAGCAATAGACAGAGCAGATTTGCTATCGGTATACAAGAGGGCAGACTTAGGATGGGAAATAGCCAAGTCTTTTAAAAGGAAAACAAGCCACTGAAGTTTACATGTTGTAGAAGCTAAGGCCCGATATTCAGCTTCAGCAGATGATCGACTGACCGTAGGTTTTCTTGGAATTCCAGGATATTAAGGACTCACCGAGAAACACAGCAAAACCAGTAACGCTTCGCCTAGTGTCAAGGCAACCAGCCCAGTCACTATCACTGTAGGCTTTGAGATGCAAATCAGAATTGCTGGGAAAGAATAATCCCTGGCCGGGAGTAGCCTTGATGTATCTGAGAACCCTGTGAGCAGCATCCAAATGAGATCGAGCAGGTTTAGACATAAACTGGCTAAGCACCTGGATGGAATAGGCCAAATCAAGTCTAGTGATGGTGAGGTAAATCAGCCTTCCAATAAGACGTCTGTAAGATGAGGGATCAGATAATAGGTTAGACTCTTTTGCCTTCAGTTTGAGAGTAGATTCCATTGGAAAAGATACTGGCTTGCAGCCTGAAAAACCGGAATCCTCTAAAATATCAATGGCATATTTTCTCTGGCAGAGGCTAATGCCGAAGTGGACCGTGCAATTTCCAGACCAAGTATATATTTCATTTCACCTAAGTCCTTGATTGTGAATTGTTCATCCAAAAAACCCTTCAGAACCTGAATTTCATGAAGACTATTGCTAGCAAGTAATACATCATCAACATAAATCAAAAGAACCATGAAAGAATTAGTTTTTGTTCGAATGAATAGCGAGGAATCAGACTGGGATTGGTGAAAACCATATGACAAAAGACTGGTGGTTAATTTTGCAAACTATTGGCGAGAAGCTTGTTTAAGGCCATACGAGCTTTTATTGAGTTTGCAAACTAAGGAAGAATCTTATGTGGAATAACCCTGAGGTAACTTCATATAGACATCCTCATGTAAGTCGCCATGTAAAAAGGCGTTGTTGACATCTAACTGATGTAAGAACCAGCCATTTGCTGCAGCAACAGCCAAGAGCACCCGAATAGAAGTGAGTTTGGCAACAGGGGAAAAAGTGTCAAAGAAATCGAGACCTTCCAAGGTATAGGCCTATTAGATGTTCTAGTGAACTGCCTTACAACCATTGCGACTGGATCAGAGAATGAGTGATTGTGCAGGTCTCGTTGACTTTCTTCCTGAAGTAGAAGTGCATATACTCTTGCTAGTGATGGAAGTGGAGAAGTTAAGAGTAGTTGACTTCTTAATATAGAATAAGATTCATTAAGTCCAATGAGGAATTTCATGACCGCATCTGATTGCTGGATATGAGAAATGTTACGCAATATGTCACAAATGCAGCTAGAAAGCACTCCACAAGTGCATTTAGGGAGAGGTCTGCAGCTGATATACTCATCCCATGTTGCTTTAAATGAGTTGTAATATACCGTAAGTGTTTGTGATCCTTGAGAGATGGAACTGAGGGACTTCTCCAGGTGGTATACTCTAGGGCCATCACTACGAATGTACCTAGTTTTAAGCTCATTCCAAACTTCACAGGCAGATGAAATATACAGCAAACTTTGCCGAATCTCCTTATTGATTGAATTCAGTAGCCAAGACAACACAAGGTTATTAGCTCGAATCCAACAGTTATATGAGGCACCAGATGACGGATCTGGCATTGGCAATGATCCATCAATGAAAGCTGTCTTATTCTTTACACTTAATGCCATAGAAATCGAGCGACTCCACGATGTATAATTTTCGCCATGAAAGACTTCAGAAACAATCAAGGCTCCCGGATTATCACTGGGATGCAGGAAGAAATAACTGGTTGGATCATCAGCTAGATTGGAGAGTGAATTCGCCATTAATTCAGCACAACAGAAGCTTTAATTGAAAAGTTTAACCTGTCTTGAACAATCAACAGCGGAATCTCTCATTGATGAAGACAACTAATGACATCCTTTGATCAAAGAAGAAGAAGAGAGCTGTTGGAATGGAAGCCATTCGCTCTGATACCATGTAGAATTCTCAAGTTTGAGAATTATAGTTCATCCATGGAAAGATGAAGAAAGAAATTAAAGGAAAATGAAGAGGAATAAAATCTGTAATCTTATTTTTTAATAATGAATACGGTTTACATCATATATATAAAGGAAAAAAAAGACAGATATCAGTTTTGTTTTTGAACAAACTATTTAACAACTTTAACTATCTATCAACAATCATTTCAACAGATTTAACAATCCAACTGAATTTGCCTAGCTGTCTAACTGAAACTAACTACCATGCCAGCTAGGAGGCAACATCAGCTTCATCAGCTACTATTGCATCATCTATATAGTGAGAGGAGCAGTTACAAGATCCAATTTGAGTGTGGTGTTGAAGGTTGTGTCACCCTGAAACTGTTATTAACAA